CGTGGGAAAAAAAGGGGGGTGCGGGGGGGGGGGGGGGAGGGGGGGAGCCGCTGCTGCCAGACGCGACCCCAGCAGAGAATCAAGAGGGTGCGGGCGGCGGGGAGGCTGGATGGAGAGACAGGAGGGCTGGAGGCAGAGAGGACGCGCAAGACAGGAAAATGGAGAGCTAGAGGGGGACCAGCAGCAGATAGGGCGAGATCTCAGGTGATAGTGCAGTGTCGGTTGCCTGCATGTCCAAGAGACTCCCAAAGGAAGCTTCACGGTGGTACTGAGGAGGGATCATTTGGAGATCCCAGACAGGTGCCATGAAAGCAGCTCCTGCCCCAACAGGTGCCCGGCCCTCTGTGTTCTGGGCTGCAGCAAAGGGCCGACCCTTGGGAAGGGGGAAGTTCGGGTACACTGGCTAGGTCTCCCCACACCTGTTGCACGGGCAGATTTCATCCAACTTGGTTTAAGGAGATTCTCTTCCTCACTTCCCTGCCAAGGATTGTGCCAGACATTGCCAAGGCATCGTGGGAACTGGGGCAGAAAGGGGCTGCTCTAGGTGTGCCTAAAGGGAGAGATGAAATCAGAGGGTGGAGGCACGGGAATGGCTGCGGGGGGGGGGCGTGCAGAAGGTGGGATCCTGACTCTGAGATTGGGAAAGAAAAAGGGTCAAGTGGGCAGGATGCTCCTAGCTCTGAGACTCAGCCCCCTTTAAAGGAAGGGCTGTTGAGGTTGGAGGAAAAGAGTGCAGTCCTCCCAGAAGCCCTCCCCATTTGAGCTCCCTCCTTTTTTCATCCCCCACCAAAATTTCCCTTTGTGAATTTTGACCAACTGCCTGGGCATCCCAAGAGGTTATAAGACGGACATCATCAGCCATGCCTGTTGTCTCGCCCTCTCAGTCCAGTTCCTTTCCACTCCTAGTTCCTCAAACCCAGGAGGGTAAGTTCAGGACTCTGCCCACCCCTTCCACAATTTACAAGGGTTAATGAGATCTATTAGTGTGTGGGGGAAAGGAAGACCACCCAAGTCAGCTGGCTTCTCACCTATGTTTCATCTTCTTGTTTCCTTGACAAGAAAAAGCTGGGGAGAGGGGGGCTCATCTTATGATACCCTAGTCTGTCTCCTGATAGAAAGATTGGCAGGCAACTTTATTGGAGCCCTTGCTACTGGGCAGCAGCTGAGATTGGGGGGCAGACAGCTTTCAGGGCTCCAGTCCTGCATGTTGTTAGGGATTAGTAAAATAGACGTGTTGTCAAGCAAGCACTGTCTTTTCCTTGTACCTCTTTTTCGTGGTCTCTTTAGTCCCTTTCTTTCAGGTATCAAGGAGTCAGACCCTCTTAGCTCTCTTCTCCTGGGAGATGATTCCCATCTGGAATCTCTTCTCCTTAAGGACTCGCCACCCATAGAGGGTCCTGGGACTGTAGGTAGCTGTGGATTTACCACCAGCTGCAGCCCTTCCTCACACTTTGTTGTCTCCATCCCCAGCTGGGACAACGAATCTAAGTCTGCTTCCAAGAAATTCGTTGCCATGCCAACCACCTCCCCAGGAGATGGGTTCAAGTTCCCCATACCTACAGGCATCCCCTGGGCCCTGCAGGCACTTGATCTTTCCTCCCTCCACCTATACCTCTGAGCTGTACCCAATGCCTGCTTCATGCCTCACTACAGTCACACCTGCTTATTCCAGTCCTCATGCTAATCTAGCTCTGGCAGCAAGATCAAGGAGGGAAGCCTAGTGTGCCAGGAAGCTGGGTAGATCCCAATTCCTAGGCACTAAACGGGGAAACTGAGGCAGGAGCTAGGAATAATACACCAGGTGGAGGCCACTTGCATTCCAGCTTTTAGGTTGTCCCCCTCCCCCCAAGGAACTCAGAGAGGGTCACAGAGGGAGCTTGACACAGCCCTCTTTCCAATCTAGCCCCTTTTGGATCTCTCTGTCAGCCCTGTCTGCACATTTTAGAGGAGCCGCCAGTTCCAACCTTCCCCTTCCTTTCTCACCCAAAGGTCTCGCCTCCTGTTTTCCCTCTCTCCCTCCCGGTGCTGCAGTTTCTCCCGAATGCCGGAGCTTTCCTCCCACCCCTCTGGGGAGGGGGCCCCAGCGGTTACCTCGTTCAGCAGGAAGGTTGCACTGGAGTCAGAAAAAGACATAGACCGGGCTAACGGCCTCTCCCCCTCCCCCGGGCCAGGGGCTCCGAGGCGGGAGCAGGACCCAGCCGCGGCTCTGCACACTGCTCCAGCCAGCATGCCTAGCCTCGCCCCACGCCCGCCCAGCCCCAGCCACCAGCTCCCTCTCCTAGCTCCTGGTTCCACCCCTTTTCCTCCTCCCCTCCCCTCTTCTTTTCTAGCCTCCTCCTCCAATCCTTCTCGCACTCCCCTTGCCTTTCAGTCCAGTCCCTTCCCACTCCAGTCTTTTCCTCTCTACCACCCCAGTTCCCTATTCATCTGGTGTTTCCCACCGTCCTTCCACCCTCACCTCACCCCCCCACCTCCCTGCCATCCCCTCCCCCTCCACCAGGTCTCCGGAAAGCACTGGGTCTGTGGAGCTCTGCCATCGCAGGCAGAGGGCGGGAAAGGTTCAAAGGCAGACGCAGCACCGGGGCTTTAAGGGGGAAGTTCGGCTCCCTCCAGGCTCCAGCTCGGTGCAGTTAGTGCCCCCTTTCCCCCCCAGAGCCCCAGAAAGAAAGGCCCTACTATGCCCCCACCTCCGCTGGGTAACAGACCGAGAAGGAAGAGTGCTGGTGTTCGGTTCACTTGCCCAAGCCTCAAGACGCCCCTCTGAGTTCCGGGGATGCCAAGTCCATCCACCCCTTCCAGGTCCCGTCCCTGTGGCTTCTCAGAATCCTTAGGGAGACAACCCAGCAGGGACGCCTCCTGTGTCGGTGAGTGCGCCGCAGGTCTCAGATCCGGCAGAGGGAAGGTCAAGGCGAGGTGAGGCGGCTGTCTCCCTACCCGCTGTAGCGCCCCCTAGATTCGATGGCCCGGTGTCCGCACCCGCCCTCCAGGTGGCGGCACCCGCCGCACGTGCTATCTCCTGCCAGCAGGAGGCGCTGCCGGAGAGGGCGCAGCCTGGATCTAGACCCAGCGAAGCCTTTCCCCCCTCTCCAGGAGCCACATCGCATCTCCAGAGCCCCCAGGAGAGAACCCCAGGCTGTACTCTGTCCCCACCCCTGTGGGGGTCCTTTGAGAGACACTCGTGACCCCCCCAAAGCCCCAGACTGCTCTTACCTCCATCCTGGTCTCAGGGGGAGCCCAGGCAAGCCAGGCAGCATCCCAGCTCAGTCTGGGCAGCAGAGAGCACAAAGTCGCAGGACTGCTTCTCGGGTCAGTACCCCTTCTCGTCCCCTCTGGCGGGCACGTCAAAGCGGACAAGCCCAAGTTCTGGCGGGGGAGGGGGGAATGCGAGGGTGTAATCCCAATTTGCTCGCTTCCCACACCCTTCTAAGCGGACCAACCTCTCATTGGTCCTTCAATACTGGACCCTTCCCTGTTCTTAAGACGGTGGCTGGCTGCGCCTGGGCCTGGGGCGGGTGGGAGCAGACCCTTCATGGAGACAGAACTGAGACCTTAATGGCCAGGGTAAGTCTCCAACTTCAACTCAGCATCAACCGGAAAAAACCAAACCAAAACAAAACCTTTCTCAGCCCTTCTTCAAACCTACTTTCTCGTGACAGAGGGGGCTTGGGGCCCTCCCCTCCACTTCCCTATTCTCTGAAGATCTCTGGAGACTGTTTTTCCCTCTCTGCTGCTGCCTGTCCACTGGTCCCATCCCAGACAGAGCTAAGGTGGAAGAGCATCCGTTCTCAGAGTACACCATTCCAGGTTCCTCCTGGGCTGGCTTTAACCTGGAAAGTGCCTGGGGAGGCCACTGCCTCCTCTTCCTGTGTGGTTTGTTCCTGCCCACAGATGTGGCCACCCCAACTTACATAGCATCAACCCTTCAGAAGAAACACGGGTTTGAGGAGGGGTAGGAGGATATTCATTCTTTTCATTTTGTTTTTGTTGGGGGTTGTAATAGAGGGAACTGAAGTTTTGCTTAGGCAATAAAACCTGGAGGGAGAGAAGTAACAACCCCCCCCCCCCCCGCTCATCCCCCTCCCTTCTTGCCTCCCCTGCTGACCACAGCTAATGGACTAGCTCCTCTGGGCCTTGGGGCGCTTCAGTTTTCACAGGAGAAGAAATTGTGCCCGGCTTCCCTCCTCCCTCTGCCTGAACCTACACCCCAGAAGCCATGGCCACCTCTTTAAAACATAAAATATCAATTCTCCGAGTTTATCGGAAGGAATCTGAGGCTCTCAGGGGCAGCCCACATCCCCGTTTGTTCATTTTCACCCACACTGTGGGACTTGGAGCACATACCTGGTCTCTGCTATGCCAAGAAGGTAGGCATCAGAACCGGATGAGGGACCCTAGAAGTCCCTGTCAAAGGCCCTCCCAGTGAGGTGATTGGCAGGTCACACACACAGTCTACCTCCCCACTTAAGGTCTTTTAGGAGTCTAGGAGCAGGTTACCTAAGAGAGGCTCCTAGCATGCCTACATTTCTGGAGCTCCCGTCCCAGGTCGTCCGTGTCCCCCCCTCAACCCCCCTTTCAGGACTAAGGGTGCTGGGCAGGGCCCCTGCCAACCATCCTGGCTAGTCTGCCCTGGTAATGTAGAAATGGCTTTCAACCTCCACTTGCCTCTTCAAATGGCATAATGTGGACAACTCTGCTTAGTGACCCTGGTATTGTAAGTCTGGGTGTTACCAGGACAGAACCAGTGGTCTACCATATCCATTTCTTTGTATCTACTAGACCCAAAGAGATGCCCAATCCTGAGAAAATTCTGTGGAATTAACTTTTACAGGGAATTCCCATGGTCACCTCTAAATATTACTCTGGGGAAGTTCCTCCAGCATCAAACGTCAGTCTCTCTTGCTGCAATCAGTATTCTTTCCCTGGGCTCCGCCTCAGAGCCTATAGAGTTATTTGATGCTCTGAGGTACTTCTAGGCTCCATCCCCTGATGCAGCATTTGCTATAAATATGTCTGAAGAGCTTCTTGCCGACAGCGCCCGGAATGATTGCTCCTTCCCTCTCGAAGCCAGGACCTGAGAGGGAGTGAGTATTAAGCTATAGTTTCCAGACCCAATTCTTGCCCACTTTGGGGCAGACAGTGGATCTCTTTTGTACATGCTTGGAAGGGGAGAGTAAGTAGGCAGAGGTGCTTGGCTCCAGGCTCCTGTCTGTCGGAGTCTGAGTCAGCTGGGTACAATCTAGGGTTCTATAAATGTTGGTTGTAGTCTTTGATCTCAGTTTCCCCTCAAATGCCATTGCATGCATTGGGTGACCACTTGCAAAGAGTGGATTGCAGTTGGAACAGGACTAGCAAATGAGTAGAATCCAGGCTGTCCCTGGTGAAGGAGAGGGAACGATGGGAAAGAAAAGTCCCTGACATGGGTTGGACCTTACCACCATTCCTCCTCGATACACAATGTCTTGGCACCACTCTTAACATTTAGGATTCTAAATCCTCTTGCCACCTGTGGGGTCAGTTCAGATCATTCACCCTAACAGTGTACAAGCTCTATGAACACCAGCAGTGGTTAGCCAGAGAAGCTAGGGTTGGAGAGATGAGGTTCAGGGATATTGACTAAGATTACTGGTCTAAGTAGTGGCAGTTCCAGCAGAGCAGAACTCTTGAAGTGGGGACAGCTCAGACCTACCTGTCAGGGGACAGAGGGTCTGGACATCCATTAGAAAGGTAGCCTGCAGAGGCTCAGCCAGGCCAGGTGTTGACCTTGGGACCCTGGTACATGCACTCCAGGGAGTGGGGTGTAGGCACTCTTTTTACCTCCCCCCCCCCCCCGCAGCAGTGTCTCCCAGGCCCCCTTTTCACCGAGAATAGCAGGCCATGTGCAGCATAGACCTAGAGGCTGGGTGCATTCTGCTGGTTCTTCTCCCAGCTCTCTGCTGCTGACAGGCACCCCACAGAAGGCTCTGAGCTACAGCAGCCATCTCTGGTTCAGAATGAGGGCATGGTGCCTGCAGCCTGCTGGAGAATGAATTATTGAAGAGGGTGTAGTGCGAGCTGCGAGCTGCTGCTGCCTCTTGGGCCCAGCATTACCTCTCATTCTGCGTCTCACTGCTGTGAGGGACTTTGAGGCCTGAGGCAGGATATCAGGAAGAGCAGGGCTTGGATAGGGGTGGGGGAGTCAGGCTGTTGGGCTTGGGAAGAACTTCTCTGGAAAGGAAGGTAGGATGATAGTGTGTATCCAGATGAGGGGAGCTAGTCTTAGGACTGAAAGAGCTGACAGTCACCCCCAATCCTTTTTTTTTTTTTTTTTTTTAGGTATACAGTGGCCTGCATGTATGCCTGTATACCAGAAGAGGGCACCAGATCTCATTGCAGATGGTTGTGAGCCACCATGTGATTCCTGGGAATTGAACTCAGGACTCTGGAAGAGCAGCCAGTGCTCTTAATCTCTGAGCCATCTCTCCAGCCCCAGGCTGGGGACTAGAAATGGAAGACCCTGAACTTAGTGGCTGCCCGAAGTTGCAGGTTAGGATTCCTATAGACCTCTGGGGTTATAGAGCCAGGGGTCTGGGCTTTGAAAAGACAAGAAATTAGCACAGTGATGACATCACAGTGACAGCATTGAGGGTGGCTCTGGGTGCAGCTTCAGTGTGTCCCTACACACAAGATTCTGTGTGTGTGTGTGTGTGTGTGTGTGTGTGTGTGTGTATGTAGAAGTGGGAAGTTAAACATTGGGGCTCTGAAAGGCCATCCAGAAAAATCTTGGGAAGAAGGCAGCATTTGGAATATAAAGACCAGGCTGGGCGGTGGTGGCGCATGCCTTTAATCCTAGCACTTGGGAGGCAGAGGCAAGCAGATCTCTGTGAGTTCAAGGCCATCCTGGTCTACAGAGTGAGTTCCAGGACAGCCTGGGTTATACAGAGAAACCTGTCTTGAAATACAAAAAGGAAAAAAGAGATTGGAAAGATGGCTTAGGGGTAAAAAATATGCTGGCTGCTCTTCTAGAGGTCCTGGGTTTCATTCCCAGCGCCCATGTGGCTGCTCACAACTGTCTGTAACTCCAGTTCCAGGGGATTCAACTCCCTCTTTTGAGCTCCTTGGGCACCAGGTGTGCACATGACAGACATGTGTAGGCAAAGCGTACCTACACAAAATTAATAAATAAAAATTTAAAAGAAAGGGAAAGGCAATGGAGGAGACTGTGGCTCAGCTGGAAGAATGCTTGTCTAGCACAAG